CTGTGAATAGGTGTTAATATCGTTTGTACGAAGAGTCTGGGACTACCAAAATACCAAATAACCAATTTTGGATAATAAAAAAATCAAGAAACAAGTTATAATACCCTTTACAATAATAAACGATTTTTTACAAGAACTTAATTTTGATCGTCTAAGGGTGAATGACCACAGTTGCTTAATCTCCTTTCATATTATTACGTCTAGTATGTATGTTTATTTTTCTAATATAATAATAATAATAATAATGATCGGCCAATTTGTATGTCAGCTATATACTATAGTGATCCGATCTGAATAATTATATCGTTGCCTTAAGCAATAATCTATAACAAATTTCTTGAAGATATCTCGTCAAATGAAAAAGTTTTCCATACAAGCACTTGTATCATATCGTTCAGTTTATTCAGCGGCTATATGCGATAAAGATCCAATATTGGGTATTTCCTCAAATGACCAGTTGCTTGTGGACGTGTGCAAAATTTCAGATTTATATCTCAAAAACTATGCGTATATATAAACGGGCAGCACGGACTTGGCTAAATCGACTTACCGCGCCATGCTGATCATTTATATAATATACAAGTATACAAATTTTATAGCGTCTCCTGGTTTCTATCTGGTTGTTATAAACTTCGTGGCTTATTTAATATGCCTTGTTCAGGATATAAAAAAAAAAAAATTGAAATGCAAAAAATTTTTAAAGATGAGCGCTTTTTACATATTTTTGCAAGTACAGCTCAGTGCTGTATTGTCAGCAAGACGTTGAACCTATGGTCGGCCCATAAGCTACATTTTAATTGGTTAAAGTTCAGATTGTAAAACTTCATTTTCACGAATACACTTATTATCAATTAATTTTATTTTATTCACAAATTTTTAATTTGTTGCAGAAGCATACTTGTACAATTGCTGCAACGACTACACATCCCCGCATGTGTACTTGGGTATCTCCATAATTAATAATATGAAAGTAATTAACGGCGAATGCCAGTGCTCATGTATGTGTGAGTTCACACAACTCATTTGAGTTCAACTTTTAGAGGCAATTAACCAACAATTTGTGGCGGGTTAAAAAGTTGCACATGACCAATATTTTTCTTTCCGCTTTCGAAATTAAGTGGGTCAAAAGCGCACAACAAAAGTAAAAAAGTGTTGAACGCAATCAAAGCGCTGGGCAAAAGAAGTCATTGTTCGAAAAGAAATATGTGCAGCATTTTCTGCTGTTAAATGAAATGTCTTTGCACGTGCACATGTTAATTGGCAAAGAGTATGTTTGGAAAATATGAACTTATTCAATTGCAGAAGCCAGCAATTCAGCTGAGTGGTACTCAGCGCTCGCAGCTAAGCTACTTAGTAATTGAATTACAACTGCTTGTAGGCAAGCAAAAACACCCCTATTTATACCATATTTACATAACGTGCCAGATACATGAGAATGAGAGCCAACCAAAATTGTAAGCATATCTTAAGGTGACGCGCACTATTTGCTACGCGCACTTAGCCCTACAAGGTGTCTGTAACTGAGGCAAACGTGCACACAACTGCAGATCGTTAACATATTTTTGTGCGTGTGTGCATTTGTGTGGGCACTTGTTACGTACCAGCGCGTTCGCGTGTCAAGGATAAGCGCAAGCGGCGCAGCGCCTAAATGTAGGCCAACTAAAGAAGCTGACATCTTCGCGTGTCTTCAATGAGCGCAACGCGTCAGCACAGATAACTGCCACAGCAATAAATGCAAATATTAAAAGCATAAAAAATGTGTACAGTTATATGTAACTGTGGCGCGCACGCTGCAAAGGTGAGTGTGCGCCAAAGTGTGCCAACTAAGTATATGTGGAAATTAGCAAGAAACTTACATATATATTTTTTAATGTGCGCTCTCACCTGCGTTTAAGTGCCACAGTGTCGACGTATGCATATTCATGTTGCTGACATTTATATACGCGCACATACATTTGTTGCACACATACACTGGGGTTGCCCGCGGTGCATAAATAGCACCTAAATATCAACAGTGGCAACCAACAACCCTGCAGTGGCATCTAAATGTATGTAAATGGGGTAAGAACAGCAGTAAGTGTTTGTCGAACAAAGCATTAGCAGCGGCAGCGCAAGACGCGACAGCGGCGGGGGGCACGCAGCCGTGGCGATGTCAATCATGTCTGCGGACATTCTCATGCAAAACAGTGTAACGAATATTCGACAATGAACTGCAACACGATGGCAAGTGCAAATTATATACATGCTACACACATACAGGCATATATGCGTCGCTGCAAGTGCGCCTGCATGTGTTGCTTTTGTTATCTTTAGTGTTTACTGCGCGTTTTGTTGTAGTCGCTGCAGCTGCTGTCCTTGCATTTCAAATACGATATAATCTAGTGAGGCGTCTGTGCAACGGCTTTGTTGGCATCCTTATGGCTACACTTGCTTTGTTGTTTGTTTATGTTGCTGCGGCAACACTGGCATATGCTTGTGTTGCTCATCTTATTGTCACAATTGCTGCTGTTCATCTGTTGACTCTGGTAAGCAGCCAGAGTGTTAATGCTAATCGCAGGCATATGTGCATCAAATCAAACATTTTGTGGCTTTAAGACCCAGTTGGAAAATTTTCTGCAAATTTTTTTTAATAAGAAGTTTTTCATCTAAGAATTGAATTTTGATCGATCAGTTTGTATGGCAGCTATATGCTATAGTGTTTCGATCTAAGCAATTTCTTTGGATATCGCATAATTGCCTCAGGCAATAACCACTGCAAAATTTCTTGGAGATATCTCGCCGTATGAAAAAGTTTTCCATACAACCACTTGATTCTGATTATTCAGCTTATATGACAGCTATACGCCATAGGGATTCGATTTAAGCAATTTCTTCGGAGAGTGCAGCCTTGACTTAGTCGAATCTCCATGTTAAATTTCATAACGGTACCTCATCATATACTAAAGTTTTTCATACAAGCACTTGATTTCGTACGTTCAGTTTGTATGGCAGCTAAACCTTTTTGAAGGTCACCGACGTTTCTTTCTGAGCATTAAAAACTTCGTAGTAAATTAAATATACACCGTACACGGTATAAAAAATAATTATTTCCTACAGGGTATGTATGGACATATGCATTTAGTGTTGTTACGGACTTAGTTTTTACTTGATGTTCAAGTTTGTTGTCGTCAAAAGCTGTTTGAAATGCTAAAAGAAATTTAAAATAAAATGTTATTGTTTATAATCGCTGGTCTACACATACATACAACAAACATTCAAACAGCCTAAGCTGGCTAAAATAGCAAAATATTTACAGAGGCTTATTGATATTTATTTATTTAATTTGTTTGCTATTTAAGAGGTGTTATAGCATATGTAAAATTATTCCACATATTTACTTAGTCGGTCAAATTAGAATTTTAGCGATTCCTCGAGATAAAGTTTGAACAGAAGAGCAGTTTTCCTTGGTTTCAACAATAAAAAACAATGTCCGAATAATTTTGATTTTGATGCTAAGTTAGTAATTCTTGGTCAGATACGATTTAATTATAGTTATGTAAGCGCGACTGTTGTAGTAACGTTAGAGGTTGCTAAAATAATTTCTGGTCTCTCGTATGGACTTAAAAGTAAATTACGAACCAAATATTTTTTAATATGTGAAAAACTTGCAATGCAATGCCAACTTAAGGCTGTTTACCCAAATTAAATTTTGCTGCAAGTTTTAGTTTTTTTGTTGACTTTTCCGCCATATTCTTTGCGCTTTGCGTCACTTCTCTGCTCGCTATATTTGTACTTTGCTCTTTTATCACAATCGACAAGTATTGACAATAGCAAAGTTTTCTTATTGAATTAAATATGAAAAAGTATGCCTTACTAATGTGGTGAAAACGTTTGTTATTATGCATATGTTTATTTTTGCCAATATATGTGTTTTATACCAGTTGGTTGTTCGATTCATCACTCACAGACTTAGCGTTGCAAAGACTGCTAAACGAATGTAACCAAATAGAAAACAATTGGTTTAAATTTGTAACAAATAAAAAAAATATATATAACAAATATGTGACATGTTATTTGATTTTTAGTTCTATTTCGTTTGGCTACCAGACCAAGTGCTGATCATACTGAATACCCCCATTGAAAAAGTGAAATATGTATACACTTAGCGTTAATGTAAAATCCTCACGCTATAGCTTTGACACTTCGACAGCCAGCTTAAGTGAATTGTATTGGTAATCTGATATTACGATAGGTTTCTCAGCGCGCTACGATATGACTCAAGTTTGTGTTTGTGCAATTGTTGTTGCCTAACTCAAGTGGTGCAAAAATTCTCAGCTGCTGATAAGATAAGGCACTGCACACTCTTATCTCTTCGAATTCTTGGCAGTTTGTTGTCATAATTGCTGCTTAAGTGGCATATAAACATTTGTATAATCGTATGTAAGCATATGGAAAAAAAGAATAAATAATGGTTAACAAATAATTGCTACAAGACTTATTAGTAGATAACATATGTGTCTTTTGTTATTGCTTATAAGTACTTATAAGTTTATGGAGATATTATTTACAAATTGTAGCGGCAATCAAACCGACCTTTTAAATTGCAAAATTTCCCGAAAAAACTTGAGAAAATCTTTTTAGTTAGGTAAAATGTAATGACAGCGGTGTTATGCTAAATAGTTGTATTCAACAGTTAGTTTTCAGCGTGAATAGAACTGATTTGTTGCACTAATGTAAAATAAACCAGAGCAGCTATATGCTATAGTTATTCGATCTGAAAAATTTCTTCGCAGTTAATAGCTAAGACCAAGATATTAATACGTGACAAATTTTGTGCAGATACGTTGTCAAACAAAAAAGATTTTCATACAATGACTTGATTTTGATCGGTCAGGACAAATAAGCAGCTTTGTGGTGAGAAAAGGACGTGTACAAAATTTTAGATTGATATTTAAAAAACTGATAGACTAATTCGCGGTGAGTTCGTCTAGAGAATGCATTCCCTTGGCTTGCAATTTAGTATTTGAAATTACTTAAATAAATAGAAACTTATTTTGTGGTCGACTCCGAATGTCAATTTATTTGTGTTTTAATTTTTTAACATTTTTTTTTTAACTGGTGTAGTATAAATATTGTCGCATTATATGTGGTCTTAGTCCTCATAAGCATTTTCAAGTATTGCTTTGAATGAAAAGGGTTGAAATGCGTAGCCCAAGCCTTCGTAAAATTTGCTCATAAATTCAACCCTGTAAAGAAAACAGAGAAATTACGTTTAAATTTGATGACATAAAAATGCAACTCTTTAAAGATATGCTTCGATGATTGCATTAACGCCTAATTAAATTATATTCAATTAATTTTAAATCGTTTTTTAGATTTTAAAATACCTTTTTTTTTAAATAAAATTTTGTTTTTTAATTTTTTTTGATTATTAAAAAAAATGTTTTTGAATACTAATTTTTAGAAATTTTTTTTTTTATTTTTTTAAAAAAAATTTTTTTTTCTTATTTTTTTTTAAATTTTTTTTTCTTATTTTTTTTTTTATTTTTTTTTCTTTTTTTTTTTTTTTTAATTTTTTATTTTTCGAAATTTCTGTGGTTTTTCGTAAATCAAAATTTTTTAAAACGTAAAGGAAAATGGCTTTAATTTGAGCAATAACTTCAGAACCTTTTTCGTCCACTTGTGAAAAATTATTAAAAACGATCAGCTAACATACTTTTAACAGTTTCATTTAGTAACTACTCACCAGTGTAGGCGTAGTGTGTGCAAAAACGCGGACATTCCCTCAATAATGACGAGAATGGCGAGTGTGAAAAACGCCCATGCAGCGAATGTAAGATATAGGAAGATGGAAAGAATGTAATAGTAATCACCAAGAAAGACCGTCAATATGAAAACTTTTTCAAGCGTCATCATCCACAAAACCTCTGATAACTCTATAATAATGGCAAACAGCAGTTAAGATATGCCATCTTAATTGCTATACGTTGAGTATACTTACGCGCATGCGCCAACGACAGGGCCCACAAGCGCAGATAAGACGCCGTGTGCGAAATGGTACTCAGTACATACTCTATGGTATGTATGGCTTGCTTTATGTATACCTCACTCATCGGCTCCTCGCCATCAACGTCATGATCGCCGTGTCCGTTTGTCATAGGTTTAGGCGAACTTCCCGCAACTGTTGAGCTATGTACTTGAGTATTGTTGACACCATTAGTGTATGCAACTTGTGGCTGTGGGGTAGAAAATAAATGGTTAACTTATATAAACAAAAACACTTACACGAATATTTCAAAGTACGCACCGCTCTTCTGCTACGCTTAAATTTCTCCAGCAATGGATTGCCCAACAACATCCATGGTATGCAAAGTAACGCCAATACGACCAACACTACTTGCACTGTTTCTTGATTCTCGAACATGTACTCCTTGCAGCCGTCCTTTGGCTCCGTGTGTCCGAAGAGCATCATATTGATGAACAAGATAAGTATGGATGGTGCACAACCAGGGGTTAGAGCCTGGTCTGTGGCCTTACCGGAATACGTCACCCACTTGAAGAACATCATAAATACCATATAGCCGAAAAGCAGTAACAAAAACAACAGTTGCGGCAGAAACTCTAGGAAAATGTGTGAGTACTTTTTGAAGTGCACGAAATTGATGCAAGACATGAAGACGCCAAAGATCATGTGTATTAGTCCGAAAATAATGGACAGCTTCATTTTGTAGGTATTCAAGAATATAATTTTATTATCAGCTAATGCCCAAATCGGATCCATGCCATAAGCATATACGCCGTCCAGACTATAGGAAGGGTCTAATGTTAATATAGTGTTGTTCCACACAGTTGAGGTATTGTAATTCACGCGCCAAGCAGAGCCAAAAATATTCATAGACTTGGAGAAAACGTCGTTGTATACGAAACCGGTGTAGAGCGAAAACAGACCCATAAGCAACATAATGTAGCGTCCAGAAAAAAATAAGTTGAATATTTCACCCTTGTTCTTGCTCAGTTTCTTCTCATTCAATACCATGTAGAGAGTCGCCAGTAGCAGTATAAGGCCATGACCCATGTCACCAAACATCACGGCAAACAAAAAGGGAAATGTGATGCAGGTGTAAAGTGCCGGATTCACTTCACGATAGGAGCCGAGGCCGTAGGCATCGATCAAAGTCTGAAAACCGCGCGTAAACTTGTTCGTACGATTATATGTTGGCGGCTGTTCGTTTGTTTCGATTACATTCAGAAATGACGTAATTGTGCTATCCACCTTTGCTGAACCTCTGGCTAAAGCATCACGTACGATCGGCAAGTCACCGGTTGGCACCCAGCCCTCACCAATGAGACACTTATTGCTCAGATCCATATTGAAAAGGTTGAGCATGTGATAGATTGCCTTCACCTTTTTTACCATAATCGTCCAAGCGGGCAAAATTTTCGAAGCAGCAACTAGCACACGATTGCGGTGATCTGCCGTCTGATTGAGCACCAATGTAAAATCTTCCAAACGCATACACACGTCCTTAAGCATCTCCTGTCGTTCCAAGTAGGAACTAGGACAGGGATAAACTGAGGCGTGATAGCCAGCGCACACCTTTTTAATGCGCTGCTTCAATTGATCGCCCTGAAAAAAGGCGATAAAAACCGTTTTCACAATCGGTTTGTCGGTTTCGGTATCGAAAAGTGGCTCGCTAAGATCGCTACGCTTGAGAAAGATATTGCCCATAGAGATGCGCCACAACATGCGTTCGAATGAGAAGTAGCGCTCCAAGTTGATGATGCCGGCAACGAAGCCCAGCTGGCCGCGTTGTTGGCCAGGCAGCGGCGGTGCATATTCGGCGGCATCGGAGAAGCGTTGCGAACTTAAATTGATGATTTCGGTGTGGGTAAAGAAATTATCCGCATTCACGAGTACATGCTTCAGCTCTGTCATGCCTTGATGATTGGCATTCAGATTGACCTTGTTGGCGGCAAGTTCACGTATTTCGGTCTCAATCGCCTCCAGTTGCGCTTCCAGGTCAATGATTTCTCGCGGATACGGTGGTCGCGGCTCGTCCAGCACCTCAGGCATTTTGATGTCATCCTTGCGCAGCTCATTTTCGATGTAACGTATTTTACGCTCCAATTCATCGCAACGTCTGACCTCTGCCACAAATTTACGTTGGAAAGCGCTAACTTGAGCATTCAACTGGAAAGAGAAAATGAAAAACAAAATAAAGTGAGAGCAAACATTAAATTAGGGGTAAGCAAGGTGTTCATGGTAAATGACGAAAATAAATAAAACAAAAAACATTTTGGTTTGATGTTTCATTCATGATGGCCGCTTGGCTGTTATATATGGGTGTGTGTGCTTGTGGCTTTATGCCATATACACTGCAGTGAAACAATGATCTAGTTAAGAAGCACACTAGTTTAGTACCAGAACTTGCGAACTCGAAATGAACTAGTTCGTAATTTTGAACTGTTACTTGAAAACCGATTCCAGCTTCGGTGCAAAGTGGTATGGTAAAAAGTATGGGTCGCATGCATAGAAAACAATGTAGTTGGGATCGCTGTTAGGGCTTGAGGTACACTTCGATACTAACGGGCGTTCAGTTTATTTCACTGCAGTGTAGCTTTGTTATTGTTGTTGTTGTTACTATCAGATAGACGCACTTACATCACGAAATTGTACACAACCGCTATCGCCGAGTTCGGCCATCGACGAGTACGCTGCTTCCGGTTGTATAAACATTTGGCACAAGGCCATCGCTTCACTGCGGAACATATCGCCCATATTGACGCTTCACTTGGCATCAAGCGCTAAACATCAATAGCACTGAATCTCTATCGAACATCCAGCTAACGGAGTCTGCACCACGTGTGTATGTACTTAGCTTCTGTCGTTCGGCGTTGCCTACTTGCTGTGTGGTATGTATGGGCAGCTGTAACATGAAAATAAAAGTATTTATTTATGAAGCCACATAACTAACTACATCTGCTTGAATGGTGATGCGTGTGTGTTTGTATGTGTCGCATTCACCATCCATTGGCATTCAAACATACATACAACGTGGGTAAGTGGGATTCGCTTGTAAATCTGTTGATAAAACGCTAAAACGCGCTACTACAAAAGCGGCAGAGATTATTTTATTGTATTTAAGTGTAGGTAGTTATGTTTGATTTTGTGTATACTGTTGTGTGAGGTTATGCATTTTACTGTTAGGTTTCATTTTGTTACGCTTACGTTGGTATAATATGTGCCACGTAATAACGCTTCTTTCTTATCAAGCGTCATTTCTTGTTGTAATCGCCTTAGAATTAGTACTTATATTTCATAGTTAGTAGTAATCATCAAAAGATACCGTGCTGTCGAATAATTAGCTCGTAAAATATAGCACTTAGACAGAATTTCCTGGTACAAAGTGTTGTTTGGTGCGTTCTTATCGAACTCTACGAAAGGCGAGGCAACCTCTCGTAATTGGTTTGCTAAATTTCATACATTTAATACGAGCACCAGAAACGGTGAATCTTGTGGATGTTCCAAAGCCGCTGTTTTGAACAAAAATATAAAAAAAATTTACACAATGCTTTTGGTTGACCGTAAAATGAAGTCGATCGAGGTAATCGGTACTCTAAAGATCTTAAAGAAATGTATTGTAGGTGAGCATTTTTATATACGAAAGCTCTGTATAAAGTGCACAGCTAAGAAAATTTATGTTATATATTATATTATATATCTATCATATCATATCATATATATAAATATTAATAGAGAATTTTAGATAGCATTTTCGAACGGTTTGAATAAAGCCTTGTAAGAAATACTTTTTTGGGGAAGAGAATCATGCCACAAAACATGAAAATGATAAAGAGAATTTAAAAATCGGCTTTCGACTTACTTTTCCATTCACCCACTTGTACGGATTTTCCCACAAGCGATTATGTTCCTTAATTTTAAGACAGCGCTCGTGGAAAGAAATTAAGCTCGGGAGGGAGGTAATCTCTAAGACACAAGTTATTTTGAAGTCAAAGACACATCATACACAAAAAAATAGTTTCGAGATATTGAAATATTGCTATAAATTGTTTTTTTCTAAAAACAAATATTTTACGATACAATTTGTATACCCTGAAGAGGCTAACTGAATTTAGCTGAGAAGTTTAAACTCAGCAGGAAACGTTAGAGACCCTATAAACAAATATATATAAATGATCAGCATGGTGAGCTGAGACGATTTAGTCATGTCCGTCTGCACGTCCGTCAGTCTCTAAATAAGCAAACTTTTCTCTCAGTTTTTGCGATATCAATCTGAAATTTTGCACACGTCCTTTTCTCTCCACAAGAAGCTGCTTATTTGTCGAAATCGCGATATCGCATCACTATAGCATATAACTGCCATACAAACTAAACGATCGGAAACAAGTTTTTGTAGAGATCCATTTGCATATTTGAAGGGTATTATAGTCTCTATTGTTCTCTATACAAAATTCTATTTAAAAGTCATTATTTGTATAATAATAATTAAATTCAATAGCGTTTTGTGTTCAAAAAATATGTTATGAGAGATATTTTCTTAAGCCAACTTTAGGCTGAGTCCTTTTTAGAGTACTGGAAAAATCACAAACTAAGATTACTCCTCGTATATATATAAATATGGGTTATATTTTACCTTTCTTAAAATATTTTTTACAAATATGAATAAAGTGCTCGCAGAAAATAGATATTTTTACTTAGCAATGTTGTGCTCCTCGCCCGGCGTAGAAATTAAATACTAGTGTGTGACCAAAGTCTTTGAAAGGTATATATAAGAATGCGCACCACCTGCCAAACTCACGCGTTGACACTTCAATTAATTGCAAATATAAATTTTCCGCAAATTGGTATAAACCAAACATATGACAACGATGTGCCGCGTATTTTCCACCTAAAAATTTGCACGCATGTGTATAAATATAATAGATCACATTCATGTCTATATAGCTATATGTATATTCATGTCTTTATATCTATAACAATATAACCACAAGCCATGTAATTTAGTTGTCAATATACTCATTTATTTAGCAGTTATCAGTATTTGCGATTTTCCCTATTTTGAATCATGTGCTAAACGACAGTGTCTGTTGCAAATGCAAAGACTGATTGCGTTGCTTGTGAGTGTATGCTTTGTAAATATTTTGTATAAGTGTAATTATGACGCGTTTTAATATCGTTAATTGCCATATCAATAAGTTAGCAGGCTATTAAAGATCAAATTTCATTAAATTATTTTTTTGTTTTTACTTTCATCGCTTGTTGAGAAAGAAAACACACATGAGAAATACAAGAATTAAATAAATCAATAGATATGTCTTTGTCAAACAGCTGAGTGACAGGTGTGGCGATGATGTCATAAAATGTTTGGCAGCTAAGTGTTGGGGATCACCGTGCGTATAAGTGACTTCAATCATTTCAATTTATTTTATTTTTTTATTTGTTTTGCATATTAAGAAGCCAAACAGCAGCTGCAGTGTGGGAGTTTACAAATTATTCCACGCATGTAATTAAAAGTTAATAGACTAATTTATAACAACAAAAACACAAACTACTGCAAATATACAATTAAGCATTTGCTATGCTATTTCTACGCATCCACTGCGTAGCTAGTTAGTTAGACGTTGTTTTCGCGTGAGTTACTCACTTCACGGTTCGTTAATTGGAAATTAGCGAATATTTTCCCGTAAGCGTACGGCTAAACAAACGAACTGGCCGCGTTGGTGTTCGAGGCACTTCTGCTTCAACTAATTGTGTTTAATTTAAGTGAAATTAGTCAATATTTCAGTCATGGGTGATAGTCGCGCTAATCTCAAGTGCTATAAACTCTGTTATAATAAATATATTGCAATGTAATTATTGGCAATACGGCGATTATATGAGCTTCGATTTCCGTTTATTATTTGTGGCGCTCTCATACTTACATGTAGTACATATAGTTCTAAGCTGATTCATAACTTAACTATGTTTGTTTTTATCCTTGTCTAATTGAGATATTTTATATCGAGTGAGAGCACTCAAGTTTCACAGTTATATGTTAAGTGGCACATATGGCCACTTACGGAAATTGTTCTGTATTGACAAATGTACGTCACGTGATGTGACTAAGTGACAGGTAGATAGTTATCATGTGAGTAAACAAATTAAGGCAGTAAAAACTTGTGCTTTTGTTTTGTTTACATCAATAAATTTAATCAGATCATGTGAGAGGTCCGAATAGTGTTTTATTTATCAAAATAAATCTAAATTGAACTCAAATATTATATATTATAAATATTCAAATTTGAAATGAGTTTCGTTTCAAGTGAGTTAGTACTCATGGAAATCGACAAGAACATATCGGAAAATTGAAAATGTAAAAGAAAGATCACACCATTTGCTATTCCACTTGGAGGAAAAGACCTCATATGGATGAAGTGATGTGAACATCAAACTTTAAATATTACTTATATTTAATTCCGCACACGACCGCTTTGTAAAGTAATTAATTTTTTTAAGGTTTAATACTAAGGTAGAAATAAAGAGTTTTTCCAGAGGCGGAATTTTAGTTTTTTTTGTTTTTTGTAAATAAAAGAACACTTATTGTGCCGTAACTATAATTATTAGATATATGCTGTCGCGACAATTTTTGCAGCTAATTATATGTTCTGCAAAGTCGTTTTTTATTTTGTTCTATAATCAATAGTATTCGATGCTTATGCTATGTTAGGTGTTTCTTAGATAAATTTCAACATCTTGGGTTACAATATTGGTGTTTTAGTTAGGATCCGTAACTTTTTGCAAAATATAATATAGCCTATGTGCATCGGAGTGAGTGTAGCTTTCCAGCGGTGAAAGACTTTTTCAAATCTATTTCTATTCAGTTTAATCAAACAATCAAGCAAATCTCTTCTTTGATAATACTAGTATGGGGTATAGATTAGTAATGTTTCAAAACATATTTTCTCTCATGTAGCTTGGAGTAATATTTCAACGATGCGTTAGATTATTTCTCAGCCACGCGAGCATTTAAGGAAAACTAAAACTTTAAAACTTAAAAATTAAAAAAAAAACATATATATATATATGCGATATGGCTGAATTGAATAGTTGTACAATGAATAACATACTACCCCTGATATGTGTGTAAAAACTAAACAATTGAAAGTCATTGTTCCAAACGCTCTAATCAGTGTTTCTAAGGTAGCTCGAGAAGAATCCATGAGTAATTATACAAATCTAAGTTTTTTTTCTTTCTATATAATCTGAATAATTAACTTTGCCACCCTATATATATGTAAATATATACATTACACCGGTCTACAGCATGTTTACGTATGCGTTATATATAAATTATTTTTGTTGCTTTAATAACTCAAAATAAGGATATGAATTAAAAAAAAAAGTTCTGCATTTGGTTTTACGTGTAAAAAATGGAAAAATTTTATGCAATAAAAATACACAAAAATTTTTAATATAAATAATTTATTAAAATATACCATTCATCCATTTAAGATTCATTTCTTACAAGAAACGTTTTTAAACATAAACCAAATGTTTAAAATTTAATAGATTTACTGTTCCTGTCATATTCCTGTCTATCCAATTCCATTACATCTTGCCGGAAGCGTTCTCCTGGTTTTACTGAATAAGCTCCCATATTATTTTTTAATTTATCTAAATGAGAATGTAACATGTGCATCTTTAGCGACATTCTACCCTAATGATAGAGAAGTTCATAATCATGTCAGTGGTCAACTCGTCATAATTGTCAGACCTATGGTTTTAAAGGCATTTAGGGCCCTGAGAAAAGTCGGGCCGAGGGGTAAAGAGACTGGTACGCGCGTGCGTCAGGAATGTTCCTGCTACTTGAAAACTAAATTTGCTTTCTTATAGATACTGGCTGTAATAAATTTTATTTTGAAAATTTTGGATTAGTTAATACACAGATTTTCAGTCAAAAATATTTTTTCAGCTTATACCGGAATATATGAATACATATAGGGATAGCAAGACTTTCCAATTAATAAGAAGACGGAAACATCTCATTCAAACATTTATTTATCGATCTAATTAATGAAAAATCGGTTTTTTTGAAATTTGTGAACTATTGTATCAAGATTAAGTTTTTCAATATGCCGTTTAAAATCCTTCAATATTTAATTATTTGGAGCTTGTAAGTGAGCTTTTCGAGCCTTGGCGACAGCGAATGCGTCGATAATAGTCTGACAATCCAACTTCTTGGCCAATTCTGTCTCTAGGCGCAGTTTAGCTAGTCCTCAAATTCTGCCAGTTACGAGCATGATTGATGAAAATAGTTGATCCTTGCTAAAGCACTACCATAATCGAAGGTTCACGGATTGAAACAGAACAGAAACGGGTAAAGTGTAAAAAGTGCTCACAGTGTTGCAAATATTTGGGAAAATTGTTCCAAATTTTCTAGCATTGATGACATTCAATAATAATAATTAAAATAAACTCCCCTAATATAAACTAACTCCCTAAAACAAATAAATAAAAAAAACGATTTTTAAATTATCTTCGAACTACAACTTCAGTATTTTCTATATGCTAATGATCTACGGATTTTAAGTCACAAATTTCGTTCACGACATAGTTCAGCCTGATACTAGTTCTAATGTATCAAAAAAACAAAAAAAAAAAGAAAAGACCAATTCAATTCTATATAAAAATGTAAATCAAAATAAAAGGACTAACTGCTGTTATGCGTTTCCACTTGGGTTAAATTGTTGAAGCGACATAAATATTATATTTTGCTTTTGAATTTGGTCTTTTAGTTCCTGAATACTTCAAGAATATTATCTTTCCGCCTATATTATTCTTTACATTAGATTTCTGCTAGAAATTTTGTTTGCTTTGAGTTTAAAGTTTCATATGTCACATCACAGCTTCCTACTTCGCATTTGGAGGAAATCAGGTAACAAACACGCCTTCTTCTCATAAGACGCCATTTTGAATATTATTTAATGGTTTCATATTACAATAAAGTGTTGAAATCATCCACAGCTATTTTGAATAACATCTTTAAACACATAGCACAACAGTCATGTGGCAAACTCTCGTCCTCAATTGTTTGAAATTGCATTATAACTGCTTTAGCTGCCGCTTACTCGAAGCTCCGTCCTTCCGGTTCCTTTTATACCACTTATTTATGTATAAGAGTACGAAATGTGAAATCTAAGCGCTTTTCTTATTTTAAAACTTTTATCTTAATTGCAATAAAAGCAAACGTTCGCTATTAGCAACAGGTCCTTCGACGTTTCAGCCAATAATCTTTGACAGCGAGCTGCAATTCAAAATTACGAGCACACATTTTCGCTTGCGCTTCGACGCTTTATTGGCTCAGCGCGCTGAGTGTTTGCGGCGCGCAATTTAAAATCATTGAGACATAAGCGCCATTTACAGATCAAATATCAAAGGCAACGGGAGCGAAAAAAGAACGAACGAACATACATACTTGTATGTGTGGAAAAAGTGTGTGTGCGCCAATGTGTGTGTGTGTATATAAGAAAGTAAAAAGTTAGCGGAGGCAATCAGCGAGCAGATGCTGCGAGCACAACCTGCGGCCACAATAAATGCATGACCTACAATATGCAAGCGAATAATGGTTGCGTATACGCCACGTCTGCGGGCACTGAGTACGAACATATGCTGTGAAGGTTATGGATGTGCGCATGGTACTCATGTGGCAGACATCTAGGTATATGGTTGGCTTATATGTTACTTATCTACATGTGTGTAGATAACAGTTAATATATGTATGTGCATACGTATTTACTCGTATATGTAAATAGAGGTGTGTGTGTTGCATAACGCATGCGAGCGCATTTTCGCTGGTGTCAGCATAAAGCATAGTTTTGAACTTGCGACAAGTACTTGCTACCAAGTGCACATACAGCGCTCTTCTCCAACCTTTGTCATTGAGACGACAAAAATGGCTTACTCTGCAAAAAAAAAACAATAGAATTTAAATGATTTTAATGTGGTAGTTCAATTTTATCGTCACGCCTCTCACTCGACATTCGTTTGGCAATTGCGTCTATTTGCTTTCATTTCGCCCGATTATTGGCCACAGCATATTGCACATTGAACAGCTGGCGAGGCTTGCAACGCTAGAAGCCACTTGCTTTCCGATATTCTCTGCTGCTTGCCGTTGCTTGCTACAAATATCAAATACCAGCAGTCGCAGCACTCATTTGCTGAAAATCGTATGCACGACTACTTTCAGTAGCTGAGCGCTGCAGTGCCGCGCGTTGTGCGGAGTAAACAGCAGTGCAAACGGAAAATGTGCTACCAGGGAGTAATCGCATGAATTTCGTATGGCTGTAATAACAATAATAATAATCTACAATTGCCCCATTTATGTGCTTACATATACATACAAACTATATATTGCTGACTAGTTGCATTATATAACATATGCGTCAAATATACACACATAATTACATATTTATATGCAATCATATGCTAAATTACATAATAGCCTATATGCGAGTACTAGCACTCACAATTCTTTATACCTACTAGCGAGCTTTTGCTTGGCATATGACTTCCTTTAATTATTCGAAACTTTCACTTGCTTACAAAGTGCGTGCTTACACATATACATATATGCGAATATTGAAATATTTTTTACTTAAAACGAATGCTTAGGTATATCTCTGACATATATTTCAATGGTTAAGAGCTACTTTGGTTTACCACAGGAAAATATTTTGTTTGTACATGTATGGAGTATGGATT